AAAGATAAAAAAGCTTGTCTAAAAATGGGAGATCGTGATATGGGACCAATCTTTAGGCTCTCCATGCCTTTCGCTAAATGTTGAAGCAAAATATGACTTATCCATATCACCCATTTGGTGGCGTCCATACAAACAACCTTTACATTTATACAGATACACGCACGCATCACGCAGCACGCTTGCATAACATATATGTTTAACTTTATAACTAATATTGTATAGTTTACTTCTGTTTAATCCTTTAATACTAGTAAAAGATAAATCTATCGTCATCAATCCACGTGTTGGTAGTATGGTACGTACTACGTAAATTTGCAGAGGTTTCAAGTTCGATCTCACTCCAAAGTCATTGCGTGTGTGGTTATTTGGATTCTTAGGGTTCGGTTCGGATACTTTACTCAAAGTCATTGCGTGTGTGGAAATTGATGCCAAAGAACATTTTTTCAGTTATATATAAGATGACATATTAGAGTTACAATGGTTTGAAAGTTGAAACTACAAATTTATTCCAGCATAACCTTATAAAACTAAATTCGTTTCGACTGTCAATATACAATACTATAGATATTTGGACTTTTTCACCACCAAAACGATATCTAACTCATTCGTGTACAATACCATCTGAAAACAATGAAACCTCATACCAAAAAAAAAAACAATGAAACCCATTTGCTTTAATTAAAAGGATCATCCTGATTATTTGTGCTTTCCAAAGTCTAAGCGTAGACCTCGCTTATTAACTTATCTCTCACCACTTGGATTGCGTCTTTTCCATATATATATATATATAATTAGTTATAGTTTTTTTAATATAAAATTCTGCTACTTGAAAGTGTATCGGATCACGTCCAAGCCACTTTAACAACTTCAAATATTAACACAAAACAATTACTAAAATGGATCTATGTATTTAGCAGTGTAATAAACATTGTTACATATTACGGATTGATTTCAAAAATGGTACGAGGTACGAACAGTAGTCTTTAACTAAATGTTTACATGTGCGCCATCGCATATATATGTATATGCTACACTTAATAAAATAGCATATAATGTTTTCTCCATCCACAAGTCAAAAACTCTGATCTAGAGAGGCCGGAGCATTATTTTCTTAATTTCATATTATATATTCTTTTAGTTTCTATTCCTACTACATATTGCAAATAAACATTATTTTGCATTGTATTTGTATATATTTGAATTCTATCTTCTCAGTTGTCAATGTGAAAGGCATAAAAATTAACAAGCTGGGATAATAAAATTAAAAACAAATACAAGAAAAAAGAGGCATTAAAATGATGAAAATGACCACGACGTACAATCGTTCTCGTTAGCATCATTCAGAGAAAGCGAGGGACCCATGCAATCCACGTAACGGGGACATGCACAGTCTCTCCGTAATCGAATATTATTTATTTATTCATTTTTTCACCTAATCGAATAAATATTACATATTCTTTTTTAATGATAAAACGAAGATATCACCGGATGGATCGCTTCTTCCATACACTAACGCCACCGCCCTAATTTGCGCAAACTCTTATTCTTCCCGTGTGTAGTATATATATTTTAGGTTATGTATATAAAAATACACTATTACTAAAAATAGGTGTACAAGAACGTATCTATGTATATACACCATCTACGTTTTTTTAACTTTTAAACAGCGTATATGTATGTGTACTATATACTAGATGATCGGCTCGTCTGCAGACTATAAAATATTTTATATGTTAAATAATGATTAATATTATATATTAAATATACTTTATTTGTATATAATTAATTATGTATTTATAACAAAATTATATAAATATTTAATAATTAAAAATAATAATAAATCAAATAAAAAATGTTATAGATTTTAATATAAATTGAAGATAAAAAAATATTAACCCAGATTTTTAAAATACTTCATTAGATAAAAAGTATAAATATGATAACTAAATAAACTGAAAACATTAAAATATATAATAATTTATTTAATTTTTATGGTTGGCATGCACGCATGTACAAATATAATTTTTTATTGGCATAATTAATTGTAATATTTAAGTATTGGTTAATTTCTTATACATATGTAAGCGTTATGTTTTTATACATATACAGTTTTAGCGTTTAATAACAATCACACAAATATTTCATATCATTTTGTGTCTTTAGAAAACTTATTACGTAAGCGTTACATTTTTATACATATACAGTTTTAGTGTTTAACAACAATCACACAAACGTTTCATATCGTTTTGTGTCTTTGAAAACTTTTTGTTTTTTTTTAACGTTTAGAGTAACATATAATTATAAATATAAAAGTTATATTAAATAATAATTAAATTCTTATAATATTTTTTGAATATTATCCATATTATATTTATTTTTCTCTTTGCAAAATATAATCTTGTCTTATATTTTAAGTATATATTTTTTCTTGAACTATTGCTAAGTAAACCAAAATAGGTTTTACCATCACTACTTATCCTAAGAGCAGGTAGATGGTTATTCTGCACATTCGTGCGTACCAACCACCTCAACGTTATTAGGATAAATAGATATTTTTTTAATAAATACAAATTGATTAATAACTAAAATTAAAATTGGACTATAATCGAGGTTAAGAAAATGTATGCACGACAAATTTGCATGCCACTTTGATTTTTGAACAATTAATATTTATATCTACCTGCATATTTGTGAAAAAATTGAAATATGGATTTTATGTGTTAAAAAAAAACAAAATATATGTTATGTAATATATATTTTATAATGTATGATTGATTTTTTTTATAAAAAAATATGTATATTATGCATGTAGATATGAGTTGTAAATAAGTGAATTGAAATATTTATGTATTGGTTAGTTTTTCTGATATTTTCTGCAAATGTTATGATTTTACACAACACAGTTTTTTGGCATTTAACTACAATCACGAAAACCGTTTCTAAGTTTTGTATTTAATCAAAATTTCTTATTTTTCAGCATTTTATGATATATAGTTTCTCAATCAAAATTATAATAAAGATTTATTATAAAATTGTGAAATCTTATTTTATATAATTCTCCGATAGCTCTCCCATCACCTCTTCGTCAATTATTTTATAGCCCACAATCGCTCGCTTCCACAAACTCTATGTAACCGCAGCATTTAAACCAGCCGGATCCTAAACTTATATGTGTATGGTTGAAAATGTAAAATAATATATTTAATATTTAATTGATATATTACAAAATAAGAGTTCTTATGTTCCTAACTTTGATATATGTGTTAATCTTAATATAATGGATCATAACATATACAAAACTTGATTTATAAAATAACATTTTAAGATTTTGCAAAAAAAGATATGCATGAAAGAATTAATATGTGTAAGATAATATTTTTAAATATTTCAAAATAAAAACATAAAATCGATCAAAATTATTCTTTTGTTTGTCTTCTTTGACTCATATTTTTTTTCTTAACTTTGAATAATATATTAAACATTAAGATCATCTCCAATGTATTTTTCTATTTTTCCTCTAAAATATATGTGGATATCTCCCCAACCTATTTTTATTTTAATTGAAAAAGAAAGATTGTTACTTTTTCCTCCAATTATAGAAGAAAAAATAACATCGCTATTTTTCTCTAAATTAGAAGATTTTAAAAAAAATATGGGTTAGAGGTATTTTAAACCAAAGTCATAGCCTGAGAGTTTTACAAAAAAATCAAAGTCGCAAAAATTTATTTTTACTTTTACTTCTACTTCTTATTCATATGTTTATATATATTAAATAAAATTTATAATAAGTGTTTGCTATAAAATTTGCAAAATCATATTTTACAAAATTCTCTGGTAGCTCTCTGCTCATCTCTTTGTCCAATATTGAGAAGTTGGTTTGATGAAAAAAATAAATTTCTTATGGTTGGTCTTTACGCATGTGTTCATTATAAAATTTGAGCCACACATGCGTTTATTATATATTTTTAAAAAATATTTTTAAAGGACTCTGTAAAATAAAGTTTGAAAGTGTTACGGAAAAACAAAACTATAGAGATTTTTTTTACTTCTACTTCTTATTCATATTTGTTTTTTCTTATTTATAATTTTTTTTTTCATCCGGTTATATTGCGTTTTATTTCTGATCTCAAATTCTCGATCTACAATGAAATTGTATATATGAGTATGACTATGATATGAACTTTTTATTTATTTAAAAAAAAAGATAACAGATAAAATGAAATGCTAATGTAAGGGAAGCTATACAAATTCCAGATAACAATAATATAAAAATATTAAAAAAATTATATACAAATAATAATATATCATATTCCCAACATTATTAATATATAGTGTATATACTATATTATAGGATAATCTATTATTATTTTCTATTTAAAATTTAAAATATATATTGGTTGTAAATTTTTTGTAATCATATTTTATGCAATATATTATGAATATATGTAAAAACAAATTGAAATCATAGTAATTATTATTTTCTGTTTATTTAAATTTATTATTTTTAGTGTTATAATCTAGTGTATTTATGTTATAATTTTATAATTTATTTAATTATAATTCAGTCAATTACAATATTTCGTTTATTTTATAAAATTTTGCCATGTCACATTTCTATGTCACAATTCCATGTCAATATTAATTTACATTAACTTTTGCTAAAGTAATGACACATCAAATTTTTTTATTAAACATGCTTCTCAAATAATAGTTAAGATGTTATGTACTTCGTAATACCATGCAATTGGACTAATTAAGGATTTTATTTATTTATAGCTACCTAACCTTCCATCATAAAATTCGTCATGTCGGACTAAATAACATCGGGGATTATTTCCACATTACAACAAATGTATATTTTTAAAGTTTTAATTTTAACACTTTCCTATTTTTTCTTTGTCAAATTTTTCCTCATTTTTGTTTAATTGTATCAGTTCATTTGATTGCTACCTATCTAGATACAAATACAATTCTATATGTTTGACATAATGAGCAAATAATTGAATATTATTATACATAAATATATAGTTTCTCTCTTTGACTAGTATTGATACACGTTGGTACGTAATTGGTGTTTGTCGAGTTAGTCAAAAAAATATTTTCTTGGGAAAAGAGATTATGAAAAGAAATGAGAAATTAAAAGAAAGGAAAAGAGAGCAAGCAAGAACCCTTCTTTCTTCCACCTCCTCTCCTTTCATTTATTTTATCACCTTTTCCTTTTGCCTAAGCTTTTAAGATTCGTTGAAAATAGCTTAATGACCTAATTACCACTACATGCTTTATCCTCTTTCATGAGATTGCTCGTTCTACAGTGGCATGCCTACCGACAATTATAAGTCTTTTCGGGGGCTAATTCGTAATCTATTCCAAAGAAAAATTCGGAATAAGTCTTGTCTCGCGTTATGCAAACCCTAGTCTGAATTCACCATATATGTCCATTCTCTCCAGGCGCTGCTTTGCAAAAGGATGCTTTGGTAATTACATACCTCGTGACCATTCTGCATTCAACTTTTGTATACATTTTTTGGTTTTACTTTATTAATGAAATTCAAGAGTGTGAAAATTTGAAAATCTCTCTCTTCTCTTTCTTTTTTGTTCTTTAACTCAACCTCATTCTTCTTTTTATTTACTAGATCTCTCTTTTGCTTCATCTTATTCTTCTTGTCCATCTTCTCTTCTTTGCTTTATTTGATCTCGCGGCTCTGACCAGCTCTCGAGTTGTTCGTTTCTGGTTAATGGATATTGAACCCTCTTGGGATCTTGGGGGGGTGGTTATTTCTTTTTCTAAATTGCATGGCAACATCAAATGACCAAACCAATACCAAATCATCACACTCTCATACTTTTCTCCTTCTGATCCGCACCTTCTTATCTTTCATTCTCTTCATTAGCCTTACAATCTCCATGACTCATCATCAATCCACATCCATGGTTGCTCCCTTCAAGAGGGTTCTTCTCGAAACTTCGGTTCCAGCTTCATCGACAATGGATCTACGTCCCAAGGCTCGCACAAGACGTAGCCGCACTTCTAGGAGGAGAGAATTTGGAAATGATGCTCATGAAGTTCCTAGTGGTCCAAACCCTATTTCCAACTAGGTGAGTTGGTATATCTGGTTTTACCCGTGAGTTTGAAAGATAATTTATTATAGATTAATAATATATCATATATATGTGGGAGAAGCTTCTGATCGATGGAGATTAGAGAAGAACTTAATTGTTATGGATTTAGTATATATCTTTGGATGGATGAATTTGGTACCTTTCATTTCCTTGTTCAATCTTTTGTTCGTTTTAATATTGCTTCCTCCATCTTTTAAGTTTTGAAGTTAGAGTTGTAAAGAAGAGATACTATTTTTCGTTAATCGTTCACTCGTGTATGTAGCCACCTCTATATTTATATTTCACAAACTATTTGGGGCATATAGAGTCCTTTTATCATTAGAGTTTTCTAATTAATGATGGTTTAATTAATATAAACCGAAAGACCCTATTTGTAATAATAGTGAATGACAATGAAGATGTCAAGGCATTTCCCACATAATTGTTAGTTAGATCTCTTTTCTCCAGACAAAACTGTCTCCTTTCTGAATAGAATTGTGAGAAGAAAATGCAAAACAGCTATATCCGATATCAATTATCTAAAGCTTTTTTCTTCCCTACCGGAAAAAGTAGCAATAATCTTTAAACAAAAAGATGATAATAATAATAATAATTCAGGTTACTATGGACCCTCCGATATTCATACCCAACCATACGTTATACGATTCGACACAGAAGTGAGAAGACCCATTATCTTTCTATGAAGTATATTGTTTTTTTTTTCACTATATAATAAAATATATCCGAAAATTGTGAATCAGCTTTTTCTTTCGTTGGGTTGAACGATAAGAGACTGTAGAGGAGAAGAAGCGAAATTATTTACACAAGAATCGCTTCCTGTATAGCTTTTTGTCTTATCATAGCACACTTTCCTAGAAAAAACCGAAAGCTGAATAAGAAAAAGTAATGATTTGATAATTATAATCGTATCATTTCCTTGTTGTTGAATTATATGCCATCAATCATTTGCTTTATGATGTTCCACTTTTCTTCTCTTTATTTATTTATTTCGTGTATATTGTATTTTTTTTTATAACGGCCTTCATTTTCTTGTATCTATTTACAAGCCTACAATTTCACAGAAACATATCAAACGCTATCTTCTGATTTTAGAATATAGGAAAAAACAACTTTATTAAGAAATGAACGGATCGTGCATAATATACTCATGTTAGATACTGCATATTTCCAACGTATACGTTTACTCAAGTTGTTTATAAAAAAACGGGTTTTTATTTAAAAATCATGAAAAAGAAAGAAAAATACATACATTTTTTGTTGTTAGAGGTTTTTTCATTAATTAACTAATTGGATCAATTGTTTGCACAAAAAGCAATCACAATCGAACCATACATTAATTAACAAAACATATATAAAGCATATGATCCAGTTTTTGAATGTATCCCAGTTACACACATGCATGTCGGAGAATCAATGCTATAGAGGATCTCAGAGCCAAGGGATGAGTAGTTTGCTCGAAGATTTAAGTTTTGTTTTGGGGTGCAAATGTGAAGAGTCGAAGATTTAAGTTTCTGAAGAAGATTTAAGTTTCTGATAGTGAAAATATACGAGTTTGAGAAGTCGAATAAAGTTAATGGATTTAGCCATTGCAAGTGTATGTAGTTGATGGAGAGTTTGGTCCTAATCTCCGTTCACTACTTTTTACCTTTCGAATATTTGATTTTTCTACACTTCGAGAGTACAGATGTAAAAAATAAATAGAAGAGATTTTCTATGAGTTGTGGTGAATTTGGTTATAACTATAACTTTTACTACTTTCTTCAAAAAAAATTTTTTTTAAGTTTTTATTGCATTTAACTAGAATAAGCAAAGGTGCTGCCATTATAATTTGACAATCTTAGAATACTATATTATCCCAATAGCGAAAAGAACCCATGAACCAAACCAAATGATGACTAAGCCCATGACCAAAGCTTATTTCCAGCCTTTTTTTTAAAAGGTTGTGCGGGTATTAAACACTTTTTTTTTTTTTTGGTAAAATGTTAAATATTTAAACACTTATTTAAACCCTCACGGTTTGGCGAAGATAATTAAATATGTTAAATGATACATTTAACATATTTAAATGATACATTTGGTTAACGCCGCTATAGCGGCTGCGACAAGATTTCAGTGAGTAAAATTTAAAGGGAAAGCGGAGGACAGAGGGGAAAAGTGACGCTGCGTCTTTATTTGCTGTGGAGAGAGAAAGAAGAAGGTGACGCTGTTTTTTATCTGCGACAAAGAGACCGCCGGATTCCTTTGATTTATTTGGCCGCTGCGTGAGTTTCTTTTCAATCCAGCAATAGTAAAGAGCAAAGTTGTTAAGGAATTCCAGCCGCATCCTCAATCGCAGCGATAGCCAAACGAACAGGGCTAATATCATCTAAGTTTTAATTATTTTTCTGTCATCTGCCAATATAAATTTGTCTGGAAAACATTATTACCTTTTTATGTGGTAAATCTATTAATATGTCAACTGTTATTACCTTGTAAACCATATATATCTAGCTGTCCTGGGTCAACTGAAGAAATTTTATATCTGGAAAAAATCATAAAATTGGTTTAAAAAATCTCAAATCTTATTCACTAGCAAATTTTACTATGTACGTAATATTTCTATCTATTAGAATTAGGTATAAATGTAAGCCACCTCATCACAACCACACACACACAAAAAAACTAGATAGGAAACAAATCTATAAACAAACTAAAAAGTCTGTACCAGGTCAACATAATTGGTAAAAGAAAAATAAGGTTTCTTATTATTATATGTAAAATAGGTAAGAAAAAAATCAGAAACAAAAAAAAAATCTATTTTTAATGGTAAATGCGCTAGCACACATCTCTGTCAAATTAGTTTCTTCTTGAGGTTGTCTTCCTATCAATGTTGTAACGTTCCAAAAACCTCTCCTTTTTCTGTTGTTAACCTCTTCAACTCTTCATAAAACAGGAAATACTAAACTGTTTCTGGTTTTTGTAGAACTGTTGTGTGATTTCTATGTTTTTGGTATAAAACCAAACTTCTTGGGAAGATCGTATCCTATTGTTTCATTTGAAAGTAGGTGAGGTTTTAGACGATCGAAGATCAAAAATGTTGAGTTGTTTCTCGTGTTTCTCTTCAAAAGTTTCGGACAATGAAGGTTCTTCCATGCCTGCTCCTATAAGGCAGCCAAACTCAACTAGTAAGCTCTCGTCAAAATACCCCAATATGTGCACGTTCGTCATTTTATATTCTTTGAAAATTCTTTACAGAAAATAATGTTATATATGTATTTTTCCAGAAAAGACAGTGGGAAGTAACGGCTACGTGAACAATATACAGACGGAGGTTTTCACATTCCGTGAGTTAGCCACCGCCACAGAGAGTTTCAAACAAGAGAACCTAATCGGAGAGGGCGGTTTCGGGCGGGTTTACAAAGGCAAGCTCGAGAAGACAGGACAGGTCTAAATCCCAAGATTTGGCTAACATATTTTTGATTAATCCTAATTTCGATCTCGTGAAAAAGTTGTTTTTGTCTTATTATAGAGTTAAACTCATATTTGCTTCTTTGTTTTGCTTTTGTTGTTGTGATCAGGTTGTGGCAGTGAAACAACTTGATAAGAATGGACTACAAGGAGATAAAGAGTTCTTGAGAGAGGTTTTGATGCTTAGTCTTCTTGACCATTCGAATCTTGTGAACCTCATTGGCTATTGCGTCGATGGAGACCAAAGACTTCTTGTTTACGAGTACATGCCTCTTGGATCCCTCGAAGATCATCTCCTTGGTAAAAAACCATCCATTATCTCAATCTACTTTTTCAAAATTTTCTTATAAGCTAACCAAAAGATGCTAAACCCGGTTTGATTGATATGCAATTGAAACAGATCTTAAACCGGAACAGAAACCACTAGATTGGAACACTCGTGTTAAGATCGCTTTAGGAGCGGCAAAAGGACTCGAGCATCTCCATCACACAGTTGATCCTCCAGTGATTTACCAAGACCTTAAGCCGTCAAATATATTGCTTAATCGAGATTTCGAACCGAAACTATCGGATTTCGGTTTAGCAAAACTCGGTCCTGTTGGAAATGCAACACCACCACACGTGCCTTCCCAAGTTATGGGAGCTTACGGTTACTGTGCCCCCGAGTATCAGAGAACCGGTTCTGTTTCGGTTAAATCAGATGTCTATAGCTTTGGAGTTGTGCTGTTGGAACTGATAACCGGAAGACGAGTTATCGACACAATGAGACCGAGTCATGAACAAAATTTGGTTACTTGGGTGAGTTTTAACTATCATTTTTGTCCATTCCATTTAACCAGACTGAACCGGTCTAGTTTAATGCATTTCTTAGCAAAAAACAATTATAAACATAAATACTAATTAGCAAACATCTAAAACTTTGGTTTAGACACAACCAATTTTCAGAGACCCGAGTAGATTCCCGGAGCTAGCCGATCCATTACTTCGAGGCGAGTTCCCGGAGAAGAGTTTGAACCAAGTTGTTGCTGTCGCGGCGATGTGTCTGCACAAAGAACCTAGTGTCCGACCTCTAATCAGCGACGTTGTTACAGCACTCAGCTTCCTCGATGCATTCTCCAATGCCGACACTAACCAATTGCAACAAGATGGGTCCGACGATTATCATGATGCAGTTCAGTGGGACTCAAGTCCTAGACAATTAAGTTAATGTAGACATTCTTATATTACATGACCCACACAAATTCAAAACATGTTGTATGTTTATTCCATTTAAATTATTTATTTATGGTCTATATTATTTTTCTATACCAAAATCTTTAACGAAAAATATACTCAGGTTAGACTATCTTCCTTAACGACAAGAAATTTATCAACCATGTCAAATTGCCCAACGAATATTGGAGACATGGTTTTTTTTTGTTAAAGATATTGGAGAAATGTACCTAAGCGAACTTATAAAAAATATAGACAAAGTAGATATATACAAAAAAAATATGAGTAATTTATATATAAGTACGTTACTCATAAGATTATAAAATATTTTAATTATCTATCTAAAATATAAGAAAAAAGATTATTAACGATATTTAAGGAAAAGACAAAGAAACATACCTAAAAAAAAAAGATTACTGTTCCTATACTTTAAACAGTGAATCTATAAGCTAATTTATTTTAAGAAAATTTTTGAAGAAAAAAAGCTGAACAGTATGAGATTAAACCAGCGACTTAACCACTTGCGCTAGAGAACAAATTTTACCAATGATTAATACAGGAGAAATTCTCTCAGATACATCTAACCTAAGTTTTTGTTCCATATATATACACTAAAATTCTAAAAAGTTCATTCCATAACAATTTGTATCATATTAATCTTAGTTAGACAAAACATTAGTTAATGAAAAGAGAAGAAAAAATAATGTACAAATTAATGTATCAATGGTCAAGACTGATCTGAAATTCGAATCATTTATTTTGTCTCTTCTCATTTGATCGTGATTTGTGATTGTGAATCTCTTAGATCTTTGTGGTTTTTTTTATGGAAAGTGATTCGGGATTTAAAGCTCAAAATCATATAATGATAGATAGATCTGATATAATTGGGTGAAAAACTTAAGAAACCCGAGCTAAAACAACAACAATGGTGAAAAAAAAGAAAGCCCTTCCATAATTCAGGAAATTTTTAAAAATTTAGGAAAGCTTTCCTAAACCATATAAAACGATGTTAATTCTAGTATTTTGAAGATTTTCTTAAAAAAATCATGCAACATTAACAGAAAAAAATATTTAGGAAGACTTTCCTAAAGGGTAAAATCGGAAAATTCAAATGAAAAATGTTAGGAGTAGAAAAATTTTAGCTTCTCTCTTATATTTGTCTTGAAAACTTATTTTCAGTGTAATTATGGAAATTACCCATTTTTAAATTATTTAAATTAAAAATAATTTAATAATTTATATATAATATATTTGAGTAATAATAATATTTATTTATAAAATTTTATAATTATTTATTATATAAATATAATTACATATGTAGTCTAATCCATAAAATTTATGTTTGTAAAAACATCAATATTTAAAAAATGTAAATAATTACAAATTTTATTTCAAAATATTAAATATATAATATATAACTTTTAATCGAACGTAACTACTTATAGTATTATAATTTTAACACATTAAATTATTTTTAATATTTTGACTATTTAATATAATATTTTTTAAAAAAAAATTTCTCAAATTTAAATTTTTATATTGTTTGGTTAATTTATATGGTTCTATTAAAAATTATATTAAGCAAAACATATTTATAAATATTGATAATTATTAAATCTAGTTATGCGCTTTTACTAATTTTTTATATCTTTATGTACTTTTATAATAATTTTTGAACTATCTATATTTTTCCATTTCCAATATGTGAGTTTTAAAACATACCTATATTTATTTATCATTTAAGTTTATTGCTGTAAAAAAAATCGTCACACCATTTACATAGTAAAAAAATATTATGTAAATGGTGTGACGATTTTTCTTTACAGCAATAAACTTACATAAAAGCAAGATAAGAAACTTAGTATAAAGAAATAATTAATATGATATTATTTTTGGTAAATATGGTATTTACTAGATTAACTTTTTTCCATGAACGTGTTACCAGACTAGTCTTAATAAATTTGTAAAAGACCATTTAGCCAAAAACATGTATTGAATAACGAAAATACCATTATAGAAAGAAAATGAGATTTTATTAATTAAAAAATTTATTATTTAAAATTTATAAAAAATAATATTTTTTTAATCATTGTAGAAAATATATATATATATATATTAAATCTAATTTTTTTTTATTTCTCTCTCATTTCTTCTCATTCTCTTTCATTTCTCTCTCTTTTCTCTTCTTTCTCTTCCTCTCTCTCCTTTTCCATTCTCTCTTACGCCAAATCTGTTTTTTTTACTCATTTGTTTTCTTTCTCTTCTCTTTCTATCTCTCTTTTTTTTCTTCTCTCTGGCCAGATCTGCGGCGGTTGATCCATGGCCGATGGTGTCTTTTCGGTGTAGAGCTTGTCTCCAGATCGACTCTTTCATCTTCTCTTATGTTTGGTTGCTTTTTCTCCAGCGGAATTCCATATGGAGGCTTCAAAAAGTATGTAAATCTCTTCCCTGAGAGGGTGGTTTCAGATGGGTGAATGGTCCTCACATTCTCTGGTGACCGATCTTCTCAGAGATGGATGTAGCGGCGGCTTGCAACAGTTTTTGTTCCTAGGGTTTTTGTTTTCCCGGTTTAATAGGTTTTGGATCATTAAAATCCCTGTTATCTTTGATGGTAGATTTAATGTATAAATTTTATTAGTAGTTAAGCGTTATGGTAGATTTAATTATGGTATGAAATATGTTTCATTATGGTGGTAGATTTTTAATATATGTAACTTATTCGGTATAATAGATCTGATAATGATGGTGGATTTGTCTGATACACCGATTTGGCTTCTATATATCGTAGAGCCTGATGTAACTTCCAATAATCGATATGTACAAAGGGGGAAGACATTAGTATATATAAATCTATCAGCACGACATGCATAAATCTTCCACTAAATCATGTATAAATCTACCACAGACATACATAAATCTATCAGCAAATCTACAAAATCATAACATATCCTTACATTGAGTCCAAATCGTTATGTCAAAACATATGAGACATGGTTTGGCAGTATAATGGATTTAACACCACCTACAAACGTGAACCAAGAAGGTTTGCTGCCAAATGTTTTCAGTGTAGAATATTTTCCAAGATTTGAGTTCTAATATCGTGTACTTTCTACTATGTAATATGGATCGATACTTCAATCTCGATGTACTTTGTTCAGTGAACATCTCTAGGTACTTTCTATATGTACTTTATTTAACTTGTGTGTCCACTAAGATCATCAAGTTTTCTAATGCAATGAACGAGTGTTTAACAGTCGAAATACAGGTTCAATCTCTTCATTACGATGTTTTCATTCTTATCACGTACAACTTCAACATTTAACTCATCAACATTTTATTTGAAGGTTTTTCACCGTCCAATACCACATAAGAAGTCTACCGGTAAGTAAAATATCAACAACTATGTCCCAAGACATATTAAGTCTACCACTATATGTTAAAAAGTCAACTATGTATGGAGACATAATAAGTCTACCAGTATTGATCAACCAATGAGGTTAGTCTAGTAATTATGGAAAGATATAACTCTACCACTACATAACCGCAGTAAATCTACCACAACGGCTTTGTTATCTAGTAAATATTAACAATTCTACCGTCAAATAAATAAGTCTACTATAATTCAAACTTCACAATTTTGAGAAAATGAAAAACAAATTTACCAAGTTCACGAATAACTCTACCACAACAGTATATAAGTCTACCTAATTTCCAAAAAGTCTACCGTCACAAAAGGTCAATAAAAGGAAAAAGTTAACCAATCTTCACGCATTTCCTTAACCCTAGGGGTCGAACACAATAAATCTTCCACAACTACAAAATAAGTCTACCGTCTTTTATATAAGTCTACCATTCCGAATAAATCTACCGCGTCGTAAGTTCATCATCGTCACCGAAAAGTCTACCAAACAAAACAAATCTACGAACCGTTGACCAAATATAAATAAGTCTATCGTCAAACGACTCGCTTACATGGCAACTGAAAAGTAATGGCACAATCGTAATTACCGTTTTTATCATCAAAAGCTGGAAATGAATAATAGGTACACTATGTTAGTTCAGTAATAAAAAAAAAAAGAGCATTGTTCTAGTCCAAAGGCCTTTTTAAATGTGTATTCTAGTAATCCTCCCAAATTATGGTCTAAAATATTTTTATGAGTGGCACATGTGTAATTATTCTAGTAACAAAAACCTTTTTAAAAAATTTTTTATGAGAAACTTTATGGTGATGACACATCAGCAAAATGACATCACTGTAATTACTTACAAACCTAAGGTTAATCTCTAAAAATGCTTCTCAATTAATATATAGAGGATTAACTGAGAAGTAAATCGAATTGTTGAGAATTATTATGGTTGATTACCTTTTGTCCCTTAAATAAATTTACTTAATTTATCCTTAATAAAATTAATTAGTTTGAATATTTTGGTTTAACAATAATTTATAGTATTATTTTAGGGTTTTGCCAATAATTTTTAAAATATATATTAAATCATAAAAAAATTCTATATTTTCGAGAATTATTATTCAAAAAAAATCTAAATTTCTAAACATAAATCTCTTCTCATACGATATATCTCTTCTCAATTATGCTTTTATTTTATATTTGTATTTGCATTAGAGTTCCGCCAATAACTTCTCTTACTATATTCTTCTTTCTATGGTTTGGTGCAGATTTCAATATGTTTTAACATTATTTGTTAATCAATTGTGTAAACTCTAACCTCTCAAGAAAGTTATATTTCTTAAACGCCTCTGTAATGCCCCGACGGCCTTTCCCACTGAAACTTTATATCTGCTCTCGGGCTGTGGGCCTCACTACTGTAGGATGGCCGATGCGTAAGTCAGTAAGCTCAAAAAGTCACGAAATATTGTCTTTGCAATCACTATTTTTTTCCGTATTTTGTTCTCGCTCACACAATTTCGGGAATCACTTCCCGAAAGATCATCCATCTAATACTTATTCCAGTTCAAACAAGCTTAATTCTAGAGTTCTCTCAAAACCAATGACCGAAAAGATAAATGCACTTTGGTGATATAGATAGCAAAATCAATTTTCTTAAGCTTCTACATATAATTCATACTAAATTGAGATGTTATAATTCTCCCTCACCCACTCAGCGCAACATCCCCGTCGTGCACCAAGACCGTTATCCCGACGGCGTGAGCTCTTGCGACTACACACTCTCGTCTGGGTTTGGCTCTAATACCACTTATAACACCTCTGACCGCCCTTTCCAGTGAGGCTTCACATTCGCTCTCAGACCCGTGGGCCCCGCCCCTTCCTGACGGCCGATGCATTAGTTAGGAAGCTCGAAAAGTCATAAAATACTGTATGTGCCATCACCACTTGATCTTCCCCGTTTTTTATCCTCACTCGCACAATTTCGAGAATTAATTCCCGAGAGGTCACCATCTCAGTGCTACTCCAGCTCAAATACGCTTAACTCTGGAATTTCCTAAGACTAGTGACCGAAAAGATAAGTGCACTTTGGTGACATAAGTAGCCAAATCAATTCTCTTATACCTCTCTACATATACATTCATACTCGTGAAATCGAAATATTACAGCCATGAACACCTAAAAGCAGTATCGAACACTCTTTTTTTTTGTCTACGAGGTTTTAGTTTGGTTCATAAGAAGCTGCTTTTAATGATTTTGGTTTTGCATATACTTTGTTTATTTGTTGTTGATTGTTTGTTTGATTATAATTTGATATGGAACTAATTTTAGAATGGAAAGGGTGTGTTGAGAGGAGTTCGTACACATTGGAAAGAGCTACGGATTATATTGGTAATGAAACATATACATAAACTCGAAGGCAATTAAAAGGAGGGTTTCAAACGGAAACAAGAGGAAGGAAAATTTCAACGTACTTAGTCCAACAACCCTCGATTATGGCTGCAACCTGAGGATTTAAATTCCGCGGGATCTCAAGCCGTTTACTCTTGAAACCAACGGCAACTACAACCTACGGAGCACTTTTATTTTGTTATGATCATATAGTGTGTTATGAAATGTGCGAAATATATTTTAATATTATCGAGATTATTTGGATTGCAATGTAGCAAGCTCCCACAAGATGATGACCTCGAAGCTGTACACATCTGACTTTTCATTAGGTGGCTCATCTCGCACGACTTTCGGTGCCATCCACTCAGGCTAATATATCAAATTCAGTAATTTATTTAGTTAAAAAGGACCAAAAAGAGTTAAGTAGTTCAGGGTCTAGAAGAAACCTGAACAAATGGAGGACTTAGAAATCTAAGTCAGTTTTGACCCCAAAAAAAAAAAAAATCTAAGTCAGCATGGAGAAAGTAATAGCTAGAGTTGCAGCGAAAACGATTCATAGAGGAAGAGAGTCCTTTAACCGCAAGAGACCAAAATCATAAACCTGAACAAATCAAGGACTTAGAAGAAATCTCTCAATAGAAATGATATGATAGAGTGATGAGAGATAGATTGGAAGAATTATATTTATTCTCATAAAAATTACAATCATCGTTACATATGATTATATACTAGAGGTTTTCCTAAACTAGATAAGCACAAATAATCTAATTACATGATATTTACTATAAATATTGTGGATCTTCTAGATCCTCTAGATCTCTGTATATATTTCTATACGCCCTCTCAAGTTTAAGGAGGTGATGAAGCAAAGCGGAGTTAGCTGCTTGAGGTTGATTTGGTTGAACGGATGATGAGATGACATCGACTTGAGTCGAAGATTTGATGTTGGAGGTGTAGCGAAGATCTCTTTTTGGTGATGAGATGGTGGAGTTGCATGAGACTTATACACGTTAGATTATGATTTTGTTTTTTTTTTTGAGAAATTCTCTCAAATGCATCTAATAAGTTTTTTTGTTTCATATATATACTAACACTCTAAAAAAATATAACTTTTTGTACTATATTAATCTTAGTTAGACAAAACATTAGTTAATAAATAAAAAACAAATAATGTACAAACAAATATATCAATGGCCAAGACTGATCTGAAATCGAATCATTTGGTTTGTTTAGGATCGCTCTTCTCATTTGATTGTGATATGTGATTGCGAATCTCTTAGATTTTTGGGTTTTTTATGGGAAAGTGATTTCAGGATTTAAAGCTCAAAATTATATAATAATAGATAGATCTGATATAATGGGTGAAAAACTCAAGAAACCCGAGCTAAAACAACAACAATAGTAAAAAAAAAAAAAAAAAATCGGCGGAAATTCGGGTTTGGATGTCGCAGAGGTGAGGAAGGAGATTAGCGTCAATTTAGGAAGATATTCTAAAGTTGTAGAAAGACTTTCCTAAAGTGTATAAATTAAGGAAGTCATTACATGTATTTAGGAATGCCTTCGTAAATCATATAATTGATTATTATATTTGTTAATTTATACAACTCAAATTCAAGAAGTCTTTCCACAATTCAAGAAACCCTTCCACAATTCAGAAAGCCCTTCCACAATTCAGGAAATTTTAAAAAATTTAGAAAATATTTCTTAAACCATATGAAACGATGTTAAATTATAGTATTTGGAAGATCTTCCTAAAAACAATCACGAAACATTAACAGAAAAAAAAAATTTAGGAAGACTTTCCAAAAGGGTAAAATCGGAAAAGTCAAATGAAAAATGTTAGGGGTGGAAAAATTTTAGCTTCTCCGTTACATTTGTCTTACAAACTTATTTTCAGTGTAATTATGGAAATTGCCCTTTTTTAAGAATAAATAGAAATAATCAGAAATGTAAAATAATAAACAGAAGCCTCTGCTTAAAGGTTTTTTTCTCGGGATTTTATTGTTTGAACTCAATTTTAAGGCATGTTATATCGATACATTTCCGAGTAATTCTCGACATATTCTTGAGAGAATTACCGGATTATGAATGTACTTATATGTCAAAATTGGAGTTTGTTTAAGTGAGAAATACTTGTCTAATGTTTGTTGTCTGAAAGGCACAATATGGACTGATAGATATTATGGAAAAGTTATGACAAGGTTAAAGACCTTAGAACAATTGTAGAGAAGAGTGAATTCAGGCTAAACCACACGGGCGCGCACCGAGATGAGTCAGAAGTGGCTTGGGCTCAGATTTGGGTTTAGGCGTGGATTCGATTCTCTTTTATATCAAATTATTATTTGTGTACTTGATCACTACATAAGTTTTAATTTGATTAAAAGTAAAATTCTTCTAATCAAAAGTGAATAAAATTTGGTCAAGTTAAGTATTTTCTACAGTTAAATAATTGATTTTTTTAATCAATTTTGTAACTCTACAATTAATCATAATGACTCAATATTAGTTAAGATTAATGAGCATTATAGACCATAATAGAGTTGAAAAGTCTCATCTCTCTCATTCTTTATAACAAGAACATGAAACAACAATCTTCACACACTTCTTCTATTTTTTATTTTCTTTGGTTTTTATCATATGATAGTACAAACACAGAAAGAAGGTTCAAAGGTTTATGGTTTTAAGGTGATGCAAATCATAAAAATAATACATTTGTATCATAGGATTCAGAATATCATGCAGCCCTCACACTACAGAGCATTTACAGAATTAAGCAAAGAGATCACAATGTCTCAACTCTGCAATTCATTTTTCAAAATTCATGTTTAATCGGTATCATTAAATATTATGTTTATCGATTTATTTTATGTAATTTTTTCATATATTATTAATCTGCCCAATTGTAGTAATTGCGTTCCTACAATCTTAATTCTGTAAATTTTTGTTTATGTTCACTGCACTAACAAAAGCTGATGATTTTGTGAAGTATTTTTGTTTTAAGAACATGAATCTAGATCTTCAATCTGTCTCCAATCAAATAATTTTGATTCATTTTAAAACAGAGGCAAGTTTTTGATAGTTAAATGCGTTCTTTAGAGAGCATAGCATTAATTGTCAGAAAAATTGGTCCTTATTCACTTGAATCTAAAGGACTCGCAGAACAAAAAATTTTGAACTCTTAATAAGATTATGAATGCAAAGATGCATGATCCTGCGTAATCTCAGGAGATGTGGAGGGAAGCGTTGCTTACCACAAAAGTCATTAGCATGCTGTCATATGATCTTTTTAAAGGATAAAGTATATTGGTACAAATATCTACAAGTGTGGAGGTATCTGTCAAAAGTTATAGTGTAATCTCCAAAAGAGGTCACAATCTGACCAAACAATCATATATTGTATTTTCATTTGATATGCACATTCCAGTAGTGCTCATCTGGTTCTGGTTTATAAATCAGATGTACTGGATATCCATATAAATATAATAATAGTCTATGTAAATGAGGCGAATACTTCTGACACATTAGTATATGATGCAAAAGAAGAAAAATATGAAGTTAGATGTAGCAATAACAGCTGGCCAGAAAAATCTTTTACATGACAGCATTTCTTTTCAAGAATTGAGCTAAGAGACCATGTGTACATTAAACTAACCTTCATTGCAGGTAAACAATCAATTGTGAGATCGATTCCATTATGAAAAACCATATATGGATGATAGTCGATTTGTCACAAGGGATTAAAATCCCAGTGTAAATGGATTTTCAAAATTAAAAATTGATGGCTTAGTCGTCAAGACAAAATGTCTTTAGACTAGTGAAGTCATTGTTTGGACTAACGAAAGCTCTGAAACAACGGCATGAAATATTTGACAATATTATAATGTCAAACATTTTTAGCATCAATGAATAAGATAAGTACATAAACATCAAAAGTAGTCCACATGGATATATTTGACTATGTTTATACATAAATCTAATTATTTGAATCATTAAAGATATGCTTGAACAAACTAATAATACTCATAATTTGCAGCTTTTACATTTAAGGCATGAGACTAAACGATGTGATTCTAGTTATTAAGTTCACTAGACATTCAAAAGGAATCATCATCTCTCAACTTCATTATGCTAAAACCATACTTGATAGATTTAATATCTAGTCAAGAGTGATCAGAGTACTTAAACAATTGTATTTTACTCAATCTGACAAAATTATACATGTATTAAGTTGTCAAATGAGTAGTCTATGTTGTAAATACTGAAAATGTATTGAGCTACGTGTGATATACTAAAAGTTATAGAATGCACTATGGTAAAGAACAAACGGTTTTGGAATGATACAGTTATGTTAAATGGTGATCTGATTCCAGAAACTAAAAGTCCATGAGTGGATTTGTCTTTATACTTGACAGTGAAACAACATCATTGAAATCTTTCAAATTAATTATGTGAAAGAAGTTAATTATGGAACCAAAGTTCATAGCTTTCGATAAAGCAATGAAGCTACAGGTTTCTGAGCTTGGTGGAAGAAAATTTGATATGGGATAACTAGTGCGAGCATATGTGTACACTATGATAGTCAATTAACTATGGCTCATCACTGAGTTTTACTGGTTAGTCATGTGTTTTAAGAAGACCACATAAAACCAAAAACAATTGATATCAAATGGAATTATCTCAATTGATTATTTCCAATTCGATGACAACCTAGGATCCATTTAAAAGGTGTCACGAGGTCAAGTTATAAAATCATCAAGAGGAATGAGTTTTAAGCCTATGACTTAAAAAGAGATTTGATGGTAGCCCCACCTACATGACTAGAGATCCCAAGAAATAGGTTCAAATGGAAAACTTAGTCAAACTAAATCAACTAAAAGCATTGTGAGACTATGTTTCTGCTCAGTTCCTAGGATGATAAACAGTGCTACCTGTGTGTGTATAGGATAAGCGTAAGCTTTTAATGATTTGAGTGCATAGCTTTGAAATATAAGTGAAGTAGTACAGACTACTCCTTTAAACAAAGCTTATGGCAAATCACCTGTGAGTGTGAAATGCGGCCGTTTCTAGGATAATGAAAAAAAGGCTATATTCACTAAGTTCACTCATGATTAACCAGGCATGTTCAAGGCCAAGATGAACACAATAGAGAACCTAATTATGTGAGATAATGAAGTTGTGTCAAGAGCTATTGTCTAGGTTTACATCAAAGCTTGTGGGGTTCAAGAGTTCATATTCTCCTCCTGGTCGAGTAAATCCGATAACTATTAACAATGATTGGTTCAAGGCTAAAAAATGCTACCAACTCATATACAGTGGACTTTTCACTTGTACTCTCAAAATGTATTATCGAGCTTTATATGTTTAGAATT